CATTACCTTGCTTTTACAAATGTACTCAATGACATGTTTCTCCTCCTCCATCTCTTGTCATTTCATTAAATGGATTAAACTTCTTTATGTTAGGGACAAATGACCTGAAATTTCAATTTGGTATGAAGAGAAAGTGGGCCAATACCCCCATGCGTTTTTTTTTTCATTTCTATTCGTATAGGCTTTTAAATTTTTTTTCAATGCCATATTTAAACAAAAACTGTACATTCGGGGTCCTTTATCATACATACCTTCAGGCCAGCTTTGATGCCCCCTGCCTTCGCAGCTCTCTTGTTCCGTGCAGTATGCTGGCTGTTCTGTAGACCATATATACGGTGTGGTGGGGAGATTGCTAAAATATATATACAGATGGTCATGTTTCATAGAAATTGATTGCAAAACTGTTTACAAGTTATCAACAATGTATCAGGCAAATTTAAAAACAAATTTAATGAAACCACGGCACTAAATACCTTGGAAGCTGATGTTAAAACGATGCGTCGGTTGTAGACCACTGGAGCTGAATTTGAGGAAGGCCTCATTGGCGGTGGTGGTGATAGTCAGATTGGATTCGGCAGTTCCTGAAAGACTCTCGACGCGGTTTCCGTAAGGACAGAAATCGAATATCTCGAGGTTGCCGTTTTCCTCCAGTTGAAAGTCTCCAAATGTAAACTGTACGACCTTTCCATCCGGGACTGTGATCTTCCACTCACAGTCCAGTTCTTCGGGGTTGTTCAGACTCTGTCCATATCCTGGTGATACGATCTGGCCAAAACTTCCGTCGATTGTTCCGCCGCATCGCACTACTGGATGGAGAAAAAAATTTCATTTCAATAACAGGTTCATTGTTTCAATGGATATTTTCTTGCCAAAGTCAATTATTACTACACCTCAAATAGATAAACTATCACAGGATCTATAATTAAATTATTTTATTACACAATTTTCTTTATACTCTGTACCTCCAAGATCTTCCAAATACTTCGAATTTTCCATTTCACACGGTTATGAAGTAGTGTATGCCAAAAGTGTGGATGAAGATCTGTTAGCATATCTCACGGACACATCGGTACCGAATATAAGGTCATTTGCTTGAAATTGAAGGAGGCACCCCATACCGAATTCCGGGTCATTTTGTTGTAATATAGTTACATACAGAAGCCAAAAATTATTTTTTTACAGAAAGTGAACAAAAATCCCATTTTACACAGCTTTGAAGACGGGTGATGATGATTTATGCCAAAATTATTATTGTAGCTCTTTTGGGATATATCAAAGACACTGCCATGCCAAATGCATGATAGGTAAATATATTTGGTTGTAGTATTGGGGCACAGGAACCCCAAAAATGCATTTATTGTCTGAACATAGCTAACATGCATTGTTCACATATTGTACACAAGTGGCATTTGATGTGGCATTTAAATAACATTCAAATGATATATACCAAATTAGTAAATGACGCGGGAATGTGTCCAAGGTACCCCATGATAAATCTAATGTCATTTGGGTTTAATTACAGGATCCAAACTTATTTAGTGCAAAACATACAACATAGTTACCTTTAGAGTAAGGATCCATCTCATATAGGCTCTCATCACCTGAAATAAATAAGAGAATATACTGAGGACGACGCATCGGTCCTTACTGCAGAACGTTGCATCAAAACTACCAACCAATGGGACTTCATAATCAAACCTCAATGCATGTCTTGAAATGAATTAAATGAATCGTTCAACTCAGCTAACAACGTTTTTGCTTTGACTTCTAATGGACATAAAAATGTCCTTATCATATCATACTTCCTATATGTCAGACACCTGGAATGTTTATAAACCCCCGATCCTAGTCTTAATCATTATGATAAACAGTTGTTAAAACTACCTCCACAATATTCTATACAATGTATACTGTTACAGTGGAAATAATCAAGGGAATAATATAAAGGATTTATAAAACACACAAATGCTGCCACTGGTCATTGCATACAAATGGCACATTACAAAGCAACTGCATCATGTTTACCTTCCTAAACAGTCATATACATGTATATATGGTGGCCATACAGCTCCTCTTGAGCACCGTTCTGCATGGCACTTGCAACATTATCAAACACCAGTTACCAATGGTGACAGACGTCTGGTCCTGATCCTTGACCTAATATGTTTCGAGAAGAAGAGGAAGGAGAAGAGGAAAAAGAAACAGAGCAAAAACAATATATTTTCCTTCTGCGAAGGCAAACAAATGGGTGTCATTGGATGATCTACCTGCCCATTGCCCATTCAGTGAAAGAATTAGGTCAAGCAGAGTTGTGGTGTGTTGAGGATAGATAATTTTTTTGTGTTAATAGTACTGCAATTACTTACCTATCTGGCAAACGTAGAACGCCTCTTCGTCGCAGTTTTTCACGCTCCACTCTCCAGTTGACGTCGTCGTGACGCAGCCCTGCCCCGATGGTTGTCCAGATGCCCAGCTGCTGTAGGACATCTCGCTTGGGGTCCCATCCGACCACGACCAGAAGTCCTGAGAAAACATGCCAAAACAAGTCTGAGCTAAACATTTTCATGTGTAAATTCATGCATATTTTTTTCACCTTGGCAATGGTCAACACAATATATACATGTAGGGACACAGCTGTTTTCTTGCTTTCAATTCGTGAAACATTACACTAGGTTTAGTACAGCTAGTAATGAAGTACATACCTCAAACATTTTCAGACCGATCCAAAACTTTTCGTCAGCAGATGCTTCTCCTACAATACCGGTCAGGATATCATTGAATTCTCTTGTTGTGGGCTGAGCAAGACGTCCTCCACCGAACTGATCACAGGCGACTTTGGCCTCATCAAGCGTCTTCTTTACCGAGAAAGCTCGAAGGTAAGCTCCGCCATGTTTTTGGTACCCAACAGTCGCAAGATCCACAGGCGCTGCATGGGTTCAATAATTAACAAACCTTTAAGATTACAGTCACTATGAGTTTCATGAGCTGAGTTTGCTTCAAGGCGCATGATGCATTTCTATGTAGCCAAAACAAAAAGATACAGAATTTATGTCTAACTTTTGTACTATGCTTTGATAGGTCGGTTGAAGATATTGATTTTTTAAATAAAGTGAGAGACATTTTCATAAAGTTAGAGAGTTACGCCGCAGTATCGTATAAACATCGCATAACCTTGAGAGAAACAGAACTACGCCGGCGAAGGTTAGACATCCAGGTAATAAGACACGAAAGAAAATAGTTAGTCGGCAAGCACCTGGATACGGTTTTGGAAACGGTCAAACGTTTCAGGTAGCATCCACTAACTTTCATCAGTGACAGTCGACACTTAGAAAGGCAGATTATATTAAGCACGAAGTATTGATAGATATGCAAATAAGTAAGGACAAGTTTCATAGTCCAATAGGACATAAAAATTGCACATTTCAAGACAAGGGCGATGCAAATTTATGTAGTCAAACAAAACTAGTCACCTTGGACCTGACAAAAGAACTTGGCCGTCGTCTCACAAGACTCAACTTGCCAAGTACCGTCAGGGCGAAGTACTGTGCAGTTGCCGATCGTGATTTGCTGTTCTGTTCCCCATCCGCGAAACCCGGAAAGCCGATTGCCGTCTTCCCAGGTCCAGTCCCCGTTCTCCTTGAACAGCCCGATCCAGTAGTGGCTGTACATGTCCTCACGGATGGCTGTATCAGTCAGGAACGCGTTGATGTGGCGATGGCGTGGCATGGATAGGGTACCGCCACGGTGTTGGCATGTTGCCCGTGCGTTCCCGTAGTTCATCGGGGTGTTGACGGGCATGTAACAGATACCCCCATGGACGATGGAACCAGCTGGGCATCCTAAAGGTTCAGTATGAACTTGTGACTTTACTAGGTTAATCTGACCACTGCCATCTTAGCAGAAACACAATTGTCAGAGATCAATTCAAAGCACTTTTTTGGTCAGAATGTGATTACCAGCAAATTCAGAATTATTTCAGCAAATTGTCAATTTTATGTACAACAGAAAGATTTTAGAGCGTACACTACCTTGCGAACAATACTATAAGGAGCTAGTATGGTCCTTTCTACATTTGAATAGTAACGCTATGATGAAACCTCAGCAAGCACATTGTTACATCGGTCTGTGATGCTAGACAGTCGTGCAGTACTCAGAAGGATCCGTTTGGAAGTTAAAAAGAAAAAGAAAAAAATACTTACCCAAGCCTGGGAACACCTCCACCTCACACACGGACAGCACGTCAGTATCCGACCTCTCAGGCAGCTGGATCCGGACGTATCTGCCGACGATCGGAGGGCCGCAGTCCACGGTGATGCTCTGCCCATTGGCTAGCGTGCCGTGATTCGGGACTCCGCACATTTCACTTGAGCCCCACGACTGCCATTCTCTGCCTTTTATTCTAACTTCAAAATTCTCGAGAAGGCGTCCTTAAAAAAAGCAAACAAACAAATATGCATATTTAAAAGAAATTTAAAGTCTGCGAGGTCAAAGTCTCCCTACCTGCTGTAGTCACCATATCTTAATAGGCCTTAACCCTCAAACCATCGTACCGTTTGGGGTCAAACCTGACCCCAGGCGTATATAAATATGTGCCATTTTTACATTTCTTGTCGTAAATGCATTTGTTTGCATATATGTCTTATAACTTCTCATACATTTTCCCGAGATTGGAACATCTTCGATTTTATTTATTTCATTATGTCACTCCATTAAGTGAAATAATCTTTCATGATGTTTCTTCTTCTTCTCCTCCTCCTCCTCCTCCTGTCATTTAAATTTCCTTAAATCGATTCAACTCCTTAATTTTGGGGCCAAATAACATGAAATTTGGCATGAAGGTAGAGTGGGCAAATACCCCTAGGCGTTTTTTTTTTTATTTTTGTGATACATGCTTTTAGAATGGTTTTATTTGAGCTTTTTGGCTGCATTATAGAAAATGTACTAAAGCAGTGTGTTACTATATTTCAGCATGAGTCATCAGAATGGCATGTAGGGCAAGCAACCAATAGGCATGCAGCATTCCTCTATTCTTCTTGCTGATTGGCTGTTAGATTTGATTGGATTAACTCAATTGACACCTGGTCAAAGCCATTCCATATTGACAGTATGAACTCAAGTGTTTGGTAGGTACCCACAGGCCACGAGATACGCCTCAATTTTCGAGGAACGTTCTGCGGGAGAGTGCAGGACGCTCTGCGGAAGAGTGCAAGACGCTCTGCGGGAGAGTGCGGTACGTCCTGCGGGAGAGTGCGGTACGTCCTGCGGTCTGCTGGTGATTGGAAACGCCACTGCGAAACTTCTGCGTAAGAAATCTTTCACGAGATTTCGGTCGTTAATAAGCAGCCTTTGTATTCCGAGATTTACATGACACTTATTCCACCTCATTTTCACGTATTTGTTCACAATTTGTGGACAATACGGGGGATTATCAGCGCGGCGGGTCGGCCGTGGGCGATTGATGTTTACTATTTGATACCGATTCGTGTGATTCCAATAAACATTTCACCTAACTACGGACTAGTTGGAAGAATGATAGATGCGTGGATGCCTGTATGTGATTTAACAAACACTGAAAATCTGACGCTTAAACTGCCAGACATTTTGCTCTTCTCTGTTGGAACAACGCAAGCGGGGGGTCAATGACCTACACCACGCGAGTAGACAAAGTTACAAACGCGGTTAAACACGTAATGTGTATCGTCGGCGCGCGCGCGCCACGGTATCAACAATTTTCCACAATTTTTACCGACTATAATTTACAACTAGTATTATCTAGGTTCTGTTATCGATTTCCGAAGAATCACCAACATTGAAGAGTGTACAGTGTACAACATTGAAGAGTGTACGTTTGTTGTTGCTGAGAACATCGCAAGACGTCTTCGTGGCAAATTTTCCTAAAGTGAGGGTCGAGGGCTTGAATGCCGGACATTTTCAAAGATTGGACAGGGCGGGGCTATAATATTAAAGGAGACGGCGGATTCTGCTAGCCGGGTTGATAGTTACGTTACATCAAGGTGGTTCAAACGCGAACCTGATAAAGAAGGTTACTTTATATGCCATACAAGGCAGTGCGCAATTTAATCACACCTAGTTAGCTCGGTTGGTAATGCGCAGGGCGGCAATTCCAGGGATTGCAAGTTCGAATCCCGGGATCAGATTTAACCATTTTAACAAACATTTTGTTAAATCATATACAGGCATCCACGCATCTATCATTCTTCCAACTAGTCCGTAGTTAAGTGAAATGTTTATTGGAATCACACGAATCGGTATCAAATAGTAAACATCAATCGCCCACGGCCGACCCGCCGCGCTGATAATCCCCCGTATTGTCCACAAATTGTGAACAAATACGTGAAAATGAGGGGGAATAAGTGTCATGTAAATCTCGAAATACAAAGGCTGCTCATTAACGACCGTAATCTCGCCAAAGATTTCTTACGCAGAAGAAGTTTCGCAGTGGCGTTTCCAATCACCAGCAGACCGCAGGACGTACCGCACTCTCCCGCAGAACGTACCGCACTCTCCCGCAGAGCGTCTTGCACTCTTCCGCAGAACGTCCCTCGAAAATTGAGGCGTATTTCGTGGCCTGTGGGTACCTACCAAACACTTGAGTTCATACTGTCAATATGGAATGGCTTTGACCAGGTGTCAATTGAGTTAATCCAATCAAATCCAACAGCCAATCAGCAAGAAGAATAGAGGAATGCTGCATGCCTATTGGTTGCTTGCCGTACATGCCATTCTGATGACTCATGCCGAAATATAGTAACACACTGCTATAGTACATTTTCTATAATGCAGCCAAAAAGCTCAAATAAAACCATTCTAAAAGCATGTATCACAAAAATTAAAAAAAACGCCTGGGGGTATTTGCTAAATTCTTCATGCTAAATTTCATGTTATTTGGCCCAAAAATGAAGGAGTTGAATCGATTTAAAGAAATGGCAGGAGGAGAAGAAGGAGAAGAAGAACAAACATCAGGAAAGACAGTATTTCACTCCATGGAGTGAAATAACTAAGCAAACATACTCCGTAAATTGATTGTTGTAATTCCTGATTTTTTTACCGTACCTTTATGTTTACAGTTTTCACTGCCACCTCTGTATCGTGAACTTATCATTACAGTTAACAAATAATTCCTGGACTTTCTTTTTCCTGCACCTGTCACCACGGTGAATAAATAGTTACGTGTACATGTCCATTTTTCTCAGACCGTGAAGTTAGTAGTAGTTACATTCTCGTCATTAGTAGTATTTAGATACTTGCAATATATAACTTATGAGATTGAGATAAGTTTTAAGTAAAGCTGTCGAGATTTAAAGTGCTTTCATTTTTTTTAAATTGGGAGATAATTGCCAAGTGCCATTTTTGTAAATAAAGCTGTGAAGATTCAAAAAGCTTGTCCTTGTATAATTGCAGTATGATTTATTAAGAATCTTCTATTTTTGTTTGGGGAGGGACTTGGAGTGAAATACTACATTTGCTACGAAGCAAATGTTGGCCTTTCTAGTTCACATTTATTTTTCGAGGATTGGGCAAAAAGTTATGAAACTTATGTCAGCCCTCTCCTCACACATAAAAGGAAACAATAAAACAAAGTAATAATAAGAAGAAGAAGAAAGGACAAAGGTACATAATGAGCTGTACATAAAGGTACATAATACATCTTTGATTGAGGTATCCTAGACAGTTTATGCGTTGTCCAGTGTGGTCAAAGCTGACCCCAGTATTTGTCTTTTGTTGTCAACAACATTTCTTCCAGGTAATATATGTTTTCTTGAATTTTCTACTGCCATTTGAATAACCTCAACATGTTGAATCAGAAAACTGGCGTCAGAGGTCGTCTACATGGCTGTCTGTACGTATCTTGTGTACGATGCATAAATTATGATAATGAACAGAAATTATTCACACCTAATCATGTTAAAAACTGTCCTTTATAGAATCATGAAACTATATATGTACATACTTAAAAATCACAAAAAAGAGTCACAAATTAACTATATTCGTGCAAAACATTATGGGGTCAGTTTTGATCCCGTAGGGTAAGATTCGTCGAAAAAAAAACGGTGCACCGGTGATTTTAGCAATACAGGAAAAGAGTTGGATGTATTACATAAAAATATATACGTAACTCGCATATTTCTTTTAGAAATAAGCTTAATTATGCATTACATCATCATATGACGTTATTTTGACGTCAATATTGTTGCCAGGGGCAACATAGGTAGACCTTAACATTCTGTCATGGACATTTTTGTTTAATAAGTTTGGTTGTAAAAAATTCCTCTGAGATTTACTGTTTACCTAAAAAAATCCCATAAAAGACGTCACAATGACACCAAATTTGTTGTTATGAATTAATTTTTAGACTGAATTCAAAAATTTTATATTTCTACACCATTCTCTAGAAAATTGGTGGCAATACGATAAGTGGTTGTTGAGTTACAGGGGCGGGCCTCAAAAGCCCCCCCGCCCC